AATAGCGGAAGAGGCCAAAAAGCAGAGAAGCCAAAACTGTGCATAGGCAAACATCAGATGTATGCATTAAGAAAAACCAGGAAGTTAAGGTCATAACCAATATAGATAAAATAATTGTGGTACCGGAAGAGTTTTACAGAGATCTGTACAGCAGCCTAGACAAGCAGCCTATACGCTGTATTTGGGGCGCATCAGGGGATGAAACGGCGGTAGAAGTTTACAAAATTCAGACATTCTCGAAGCTGGCGCTTCACAGTCGGCTGCGGAGAACGTTCCACGGCTTCGACCCTGTTGGGCTGAGTTAGAACTCTTGAGGCAGAGATGTGACGTCACAGGAACGATGAATGGGACGTGCTAAACTTGCGTTCGGCGCTTGTACTGTCTGTTTCGCGTCCGTGGCCATGTTTCGTTGCGCTGTTAGCCTTAAGTAAAGACTGTACTTAGATTTAGGTGCACGTTTAAGAACCCCACGTCGTAGAAATTTACGAGGCCTTGCAATCTACGGGCGTCCCTCCCATTATATCGTGGTATCGGGACGTTTTCCCAACAATTATCATTATATTTCAGAGTTGATTTTAAGTAGAGTGCGCTATATCAATAACTGTCAGGAAATGCAAATATGCTGCTCAAAAGACAAAATCTCAAAGGGGAACCTTTGCGGGGGCTGTCCCACCCCCAGCGTGAACACAAGGGGGGTCAGGACTCCCTAATAATCCCATGATTTACGCCGCTGATTCACACAAACCTACCTGATTTACGCATCATTCCTTCATGCTCCCACTCACGCCTTTCAATTGAGTGTGAATCAGTGTACTCACACATATACCGAGCTTAACCATGTGACAGAAAAAAAAAATCGTCGCTTCTATAGCGATTGCCTCGTGAGCGCACATTTTGTGTTCTTCAGCCATGAGTGACACAGCGGACGACGCGTGGAAGTGGCGCGATATTGCGCTGGTAATTACGTTGCTCGGCTGGCGCCGGCCGGCCCGACTCGCGAGGCACGGTGTGTAGGGCATCGGTGTTGAGAGTAAGTGGACTCTGGCGGGCGTAAATATTGTAAACAATAACAAAGCTGTTCATGTCGGAAAGTTGCTACAGCATTTCGCTCTTGCAAATCTGATCAATTCAACTCCGATAGCCTGCCTGGAAAACGCTGACCCATCACGCTTGCAAACACCGAGCTGACGCTTTGAGCAGAAACGCTCACATGTGTAGCGTTAAAGACGCAACTTTAGGCGTAGTTTTTAAAGCGAAACGCTGGCGTTTAAAAAAAATATATATATCAGGATATCGCCATTATCACATGATGTTGAGAGTCTTGTAAGGCGCGTTTACACTAGAGCGACACGACACTGACACAAGCCTACCGAAGACACGAGGCAGACGCAAACCATCGGCCGACGAGTCGCCCGCCAACGAACCGAAGTCACCAGACCACATGGTCACACTAGGCTGACGACGACGATGACGCCTCAAAAGACAGCATTTCATCGTAGTGTAACATGATGAGAGACCGAAAGCACCAGCAAAACGCATTGTCAGACCTGTTGTCGGCGTGTCTTCGGGAGATCGGCGGCTGAGCGAAAATTCTCCCCATGCCTGCTTTAAAGGACCACGAAGCGGGCAATCTTGGGGGAGTTAACAATGCCCTCTCGGAGGCTTCTACGGAGTCTGAACAGGCAGCTTGAGCACCCAACAGAAGTCTTTTCTTCGCTACCCTATTGTGTATCCCCAACCCCGGCCCTCGCTACCACGGATTATGGATGGGGCTGCGCCGAGTAGCAGGAGAGGGACAATGACAGAGCGGGGAGCATGGCTGAAAATGAAGTGCAGCTGTGCAAGTTTATACCCCTGTCACACGACCACCACCAAACTCCGTTGAACACCGTCAACGTAAATCTCCCCTAGGTGTTCGACGGAGAAGGAGTTGTGGCAGTGTCACACGGCAATGACAAGGTTGTAACAGTTGCCGCGAGGGGGCTCAGCTGGCGCTGTTTGATTTTCGGAAAAGTATTCTAATTTGATCCCTATTTATTTTTTTTTGTGAATCCTCATTATGCGGTTTTTACAAAAAAGCACTATAAAGAAGGTATGCGACTAACAAACCATTAAAAATAATTTCAAATAAAAACGCATTTGCTAATTGTAGCAATGCTGCTAGTGACGCTGGCCACATTGTGCTTTTAGTTGTTTTGTTGCCCGTGTACATGCCCGGTACGAAAGTTCTTATGCTTCCTTGCCTCGTGAGCGCACATTTTGTGTTCTTCAGCCATGAGTGACACAGCGGACGACGTGAGGAAGTGGTGCGATATTGCGCTGGTAATTACGTTGATCGGCTGGCGCCGGCCGGCCCGACTCGCGAGGCACGGTGTGTAGGGCATCTGTGTTGAGAGTAAGTGGACTCTGGCGGGCGTAAATATTGTAAACAAACACGCGTTGTGAATGAGTATATACAACGAAAGAACGTTTAATATTGCTAAAATGTATTATTCTTTCACTGCGGCCACTTAGTGCTCGAAATTTTTCTCTGACCTCTAGACTGCTGAGGACGAGAGTACCTCGTTCCCCTGCGAAGGGAGATCGTTGAACGTCCTTTGCGAAATGCTCCGTTCACCTTCGTTTGCGTAAGGGTGGCCGTGTGACACCAACCGCAACTTCGTTGTCGTAAAGACGAGGGAGTTAAACGGTCTTCACGGGTGCCCGTGTGACAGGGGTATTAGTCGGTGTCGCTGCGTGTGCCTCCAATGTGACTACAGAATTGGCCAACGAGAGACTGTGAGCACGAGAAAGCGCGGGCGGGGTCTTCGCGAGACCACCCGCGGACTGCTTGTGTCTTTGCAGTGTACCTAGGCCGACGAAAAGAGAAAAGACACTTCTAAGGACAGCCCGCACACCAAAATCGGTATCTTGTCTCTCTAGTGTAAACCTGCCTTAAGGTGCTTGAGCTTGCTTAAAGAACTTGTCAACAATATTAAGAAAACCGAGAAACGATGTGCCAAAAACGAAACGCGGCGGAAAACTGATACGGGCTTCGCGGCGCGTATATACGATGACGTCACGGCTCGCCGAGCGGTAATGTAAGCACACGCCGCACACGTTACGCTGGTGCGGCAAAAAAAAAAAAAAAAAAAAAAAAAACGTGCGGTGTTATCAGACGATAAAACAGCTGGGCCAGTTTTTCATAACTTGACAGCGGTGGTTTGAGTGCTGGGGGATGGTCGTTTGCTTTTTCTCCGGGAAGTAGCGAGGCAGGCTGTAACGTCACAAACACAAGAGTCATGATCTGCACTCAGGGGCTTTGAAATTCATTTTATAGAGACCTAAATCACTTCCTGTCGTGTACTTTTGGCACACAACATTTCAATATTAAGAAAACGTATACTGAAAAATTTTTTATTGAGATCAGTAGACATCAAGGAATCGCCAGAGTTGAGCCCTTATAAAGACAGAACAGCTGTACACATTGCCGTGACGTAAAATACCCTTTCTTGATGATTGAGTTGCGCTTTGAGCCATAGTTTGTGAAAATTTACATAAGTGCAGTGATGTGACCAGCCGAAACCAATTCGGCGCAGCTTCTGGAGCAGCTAAAACCTCAAATTGGCGGCTGCACATCAGGCTATTGGGGGAGTTTTACCTTGTTTAACACGTAACTATATGTGCATGCACATACGTGTATTGCGATGTATAGGCTGTGTTCCAACTCTTAGACAGCACGTAGACAGTCTACGCAGACTGCTTAGAAAACCGCACCGAGCCCATGCTGTCCGAGAATTGGACCCGTTTAGACAGCTTTTACGCAACGATGCGCCACCTCACGTCTAGAAGAAAAAGCTAAAAGAAACAAACTTAACAGTTGTATTTTCTGGCATATTTTGTGCTGAAATCCAAAACAAATAAACTTTACTCACATTGAGCGTCTGGGAAAGCGTCTGCTTGTGTGCAGACGGCCATTCTGGCCAGATTTGATCTATCTGAGCGATTCGCTGAGCCGCCATCTTGTTTAGACAGCAAAGTAGCATGCATCGTATTTGTCTACGATGCGGTCTTGTCGGAGCTGTCTACTTTGCCGGCTACGTGAGAATTGGAATGGGACTTAAAACCGCCGCCGTCCATTTAGCTGTCTATTTATCCGTCTACGTTGAGTATTGGAACACAGCCATATAATGTCCCAAAAGGTAGAATCAGCTCACTACTTCTCACTTTCCTGTGGGGGGGGGGGGGGGGGGGGCTAAACTTTTACATATCTGTGACATCAGGCCACCCGGCATTTGCTCCGGATATGATTCATATTTGTTATTCAGTGGGCCTTCCCTAAAGCTCGAGGCCACAAAATTTTTCCACGAATATTCTATTACTAAAAATAACTATTGCGATGACGTCTGCGTTTTCAGTACAACGTCCGCTAATGCGGTGAAGTACACGCTGCCGCACGTTACGAAGAGACGGCTTTTGATTTCGTGGCAGGTAATAGAGGGTTCGATGCATAACTGGTATATTGTGTTTGAATTCCAATGCTGCTCTCAACAATATTTGCGAGAATGAAAGGCTCCGCGTTTTATTGAGAATGGTTCTCCAACTTTTCCCGAAGTCGTGATGCAGCACCGATACGCCGGCCGGACAGCGCGTCACCATGCTATCCCATAAGGCCACGGCAGCGGCGTGATTTGTAGATAAGTCCTGGTCATTGTATGGTATCAATACATGAGTGCCCTGTATGAAATCTGCTGGAAGCCAGCACGAATAGCGCTGCAATTTTTTAACGAAATATATGCACTAGAACTAAAAAATTATGATTGTATCTATGCATTACTTACTGTAATCGATGTAATCAATTTTGATGTAAACGACTGGTGCCTCTAAAAACTTACGACTTTACAGATTATTGGATATTTTCTCACCCGACATCATTCTGACATAAGGATGCAATTTCATAGCGTAAGTGGTCAACACTTCGTAGTAAAGAGTCCCCCCCCCCCCCCCCCCCTCGTGTGCGCTTCGGTGCCCCAACTTTTCGTGGTTAGAAAACTCCACATGCAGGTTTAATGACTGAATTGAGCCTAGTAGACATGTAGTAGAGCGATGAAATCAACCTCGCGTAAGCAAGCATTATTTTACAGCACCGTCGTCGCTTTCGTGCTGCCACCGAACTCGATCTCGTCTCCCGAGCGCCGCCAATCGTCACGCGTGCCTGCAACTTGCGACTTGCTCAATAATATCAAGCTGTCGCACAACCTACCAGCTTACATCAATTCGCGTGCCACCATTTATTTTACTTAATTAAAACTTTGCGGCTTCGGTACACATATCACTGTTTACGAGACAGTGTGCACATGTTTTTGCAAACTGGGCAACGTGCACAGTCGCAATGGGCAAAGTTACAGCACGAATGTTGGTGCGAGATGAACAAATATTGTAAGCTTAATCAAGAATTAGGCGGCAACTGCCACTTGCTCAATACCATCAGCTCGATCGAATATTATTTTCAATTGAGTACACAGTTGTCCCTGAGAAATCTTTTTAAAACTAGGCAGTTTTCGCCTGTCAGCTCCAATGATCAATAAAGATTACAAGGGTAATTCAAGTACGTAATTCGAGTGCCTTTCACCTTTTTCTCTCCACGAAAGACTGCGAAATGATGTCTTCGAGCACGGTCGGCACAAACTACAAGATTCCTGTCGACATACAGCAGGATGTAGCAGCTTTCACCTTTTGGTACAGTTTGGCGTAGTTAGCGCAGCCATCACATCACTGCATTTGTCCTCCACAAAAACAAACACACAAGCAAAAAACCACGAAGGATACCTGACTGATCATGTAGTAGATAGCGCTTGTGCTCATTAACACCGAAGAAAGTAGTAATAGATCACTACTGGCCACAAACGAAGGATTCTTTTATCTATTTTCGCCTGGCTCTTGAAGGCGTCGTGAAAAGGTTGTTTCTAAAATGACAATGCGAAACCACCAGCAGCCACACTCATTAACTAGGTGACGTCAGCCTAAGAACAGTAGATTACATGGACGATCATCGTGGCAAAGCGTCCATGCTCGATAAGGTTATCGCGGCTGTGCCTCGACAAGCGTCCATGCGTGTCTACTGTTAGGCTTATGTCACCTAGTAGTATACGTGTACCTGCCGGTGGTTCCACATTGTCCTTTCAGGAGCGACATTTCACGACCCCTTTAATCTATGTCAATCTTGCTAAATCTAGGCACCAGTAGCGGAGGGAACATTGATACTACCCCATTATCTCGCCCAATATCAAGCGCTCGTATTTTTATGAAAGCGTGAATACAATGAGTATGTGCGCGTGCATATTGTTACAAAGCTTTGCATTCACGATGTGATACATAATTGTAAATGGCCTGTTTTTGAAGTAAAAAAAAAACGTATGAAGCGAGAAGGTGAGAATTGAGGCAGCTCCTCACACTGCACTTAATTCCCACGCCGGCTCAACCGTTAGGTTTGCAGCTCCCATATACACTAGCGCCAGAGCTATCTCTAGTAATCAATCAAAGAAAGTCTACAGTGCAACTATCTGCGCAATGAAACAAAAAAAAAAGAAAACCTCTGAGTCGTTGCCTCTCGGTGTTACATACACGCTTCAATTACGATAAAAAAAAAGATCGCTGCTGCAAGAGAGATGCTGTGCTGCGCCATGTATTGAAAAAAAAAAAATGATGTTAGCTGCATGCTCTCATTTTTAGACGGCGTAACGTGTCAGGACGGTCCAGAGCCATGTGGGTCGGCCGCTCGGAGCACCATGACTACGTCATCGAGCCAGTAATAGGCCTGCTCGAGGTCACCCTCGCAAAAGTAGGGTAGCCGGGTCCAGGTCTCCAAGATGAATCCAGCAGGTACGATGACGTCCTTGTAAAGCGACTGGACCTGTTGTTCCAGCGTCGAGCCACGCACGCGCAGTTTCTCGAGTGGTTTGGTGCCGCACTTGCCAGATTCTACGTACTGCGACAGAGGCAGCACCAGAGCGAGCACCAGCCTGCCTGAGCGATGCGCCAGCCGAGCCCTGAGCATGCGCAGCAGTCCCAGAGGTGTCTCACAGCGGTCGAGGACGTTCAGGCAGCAGATCACGTCGTACAGCTGCGATTCCCCGCCGTCCTCTGCATCGGCAGGTCGAAGCGTCACAGCGTCCAGAACCCGGAACCCTCGTCGGCTCAGCACGCGTCGCATGGACGGCGACTTCTCGGTCACGTCGACCCGACGGAACAGGGGCGCTATGGCTGCCGTCACGTTGCCGTCGCCCGCTCCCACGTCCAGCAACGAGCCGAAGAGGGGTAGGCTTGGCGGGTCTGCTTCTATGCGCATGAGCCGCAGGAACTGGTTCATCGAAAACACGAACATAGATCCCCGTCCCAGCATCCTGCGAGCATTGCAAATCGGTGTTCAGGGCATGTGCCGTCGGGCATACAGAGCACACATTCGCAGAAACCGCGGCGCGACTTTTACCGAGATCTTTATGTCGAGCCGTCGTATAGCACTGGGTAAACTGGTGTGCGCAGAGATGCCCGTTGTACGCGTCGACATAAAATATACACGCCCATTATTGTGTCAGAATTTTTATAGTATGTACTGGTTCATACCACCACAAAATATTGAGCATAAGCGAAAAACCGCACACTCACGATTGCAGTCAAGGCATATAAAAAGCACCAACAACCAAATTTGTTGAGGACGATCGCAGAAATAATATCTGTCTATGACATTGCATGCTTCGTTTGTCAACGATAGCACAAGTTTTCGCATGAATAACTAGCAATTGGCATACCCATTCATGCCCTTTCATTCTCCCCTAATTTCGCTTAAGTTCAAAGATTACAAATTTACGTAGCTTTTCCCCATCATAGTGAGAAGTATGATTATTCATGACAAATCCACAACTATAACTAGAACATCCGTGCTCTTTTCGGAATGTGGCTTAGCTCATATATACGAAGAAATGAATGTCTACATAGGCCAGTGCGAACATTGATTATTTTCAAATATTCCATGGGATATTCAGCTACCTCGATTTAATTTGCGCGATTATTCAAAGCATTCAAAAGAAACGAATATACATATTTTTTACGCGTATAACAAGCACGCTCTTTTACAAAAGAAACGTAGGAAAGAAAAAAAAGAATAAAAACATTCCACGGGAATAACTGCAAACAACGGTCAAGTATTCATAAAAACTGTCCACATCCGAGGCACGTGCGCCACTCCTCGACGTTGAATCTTCGGCCGACGGCTCTGTTCTCCATCGATAATCTACCTTTACTTCTTAACTGTGTAAACGACAGCAGTCGCAGGCTGCTCACCGCGATCACAGTCCTGGTTTCTGGCAACGCGTACACTATTTGTCAACACCAAAAGCTAAATTTGCTAGTTCGAGACTGCTAAAGGGTGAGGTAAGTCGTCGAACATAAAAAGGGGGTTGGTGGAGGGAGACTGGGGTGCCCTCGGCGATAGAACAAAATGGCGGAGATTTCTGCCTTCAAGTGTAGCTTCACGGCAGCTCGTGTAGTGCTGCCGCGAAGCCACATTTAGAGGCACAAGTCTTGGTCATTTTTTAAAACTCGCCACCACCAACACTACCACCATTGATGATTATACGTATACACCAGCATCGGAAGTAAGAAAACTTGTGTCTGGCTCGAGTTTTCGGATATAGTCATGAGAAATGTATATAGGTAAAAAACACAAACGTAGCTTGCACTAGGGGCGCAAGGCTAAAGACACGGTGGAGCTACTCACTTCCTAGCTGCTCCTGGCCATACGAAGTAATGCCAAGTGACGCCATGGGATACGAAGTGACGCCAACTTCCAGTAGAGGTCAGCACAGCCACCTCTCGCCATTTCAGCCGTACTACGCCGTGGAATACATTAAACGAGTCGAGTTCAGCGGTCCCGCTAGGCAGCGCGCCGGTAAGCGGCTTCTTCATCGGCATTGCGAACTTTCAAGGTTCCCCATGTCTGAGACTTCGGTTTCCCCGTGTCCGAGTCTAGCGCCACGCGCCGGCTTTATATAGAACGATAGAGCGCGAAGTTCGCCGTGGCATCACGTACGCCTGGTGCGACTGAGCGATTGCGTGCAGTGTCCACGCAGGCGGCGATGTGTATATATATGGCCAAATGAAGCAGGCGCACAGCTGCGCAACCGGTTGCTAGGCAACGCGTGGCGACGTTGGACAGGTTACGGTCAGCTGTTAAAATGTCGTCCTTGAATATATCGCTATTCATGTTGCACCTCACACACCCGCCTTTGTTGGCGAAGTGGTTTTCTGGCTCCCCATTGGTCTAACGTCCCATGAGAAGTCATTTGCGTTGGCATGAAACAAAACCGCATATTCGGAGGCCGACGCTTAGCGAAACAGCACTTGTTAGGCCTAACAGCCGAGACAAGCTCAGTTGCGAACGGCGTATGGATGCGCGATGCTTGCCTCGCATCAGCGATGCGTGCAAGCTGGACTGAAGACTGAAAAGCGGCACGTTTGCCCGCCTATAGTGAGTTCGTCTTTGCGTTTACGCAATGAAATAGGCGAAAATCTGGGTGCTGAAAGAAATTATTGTGTTGAATAAGTGGAATGCAATATAAGCATCAAGACAGCGATTTACAGCATTGCGACGAAAACGCTTTCGCGACCTCAACCACCCAAAAATATTAAGTTTACTTAAGAACAACAGTAAACGAGAGCTCTAAATAAGCTTTCCTGTGTTGCTGAAATGGCACGAAATGCGGAATTTGAATTTTTACTGACATTGTAAATATCAACAGCGCTTTGAAAATGAACTTCATGAGTAGTGATTTGAAATTATTTCACTTTAGTGGAGAGTTCTACGGAATACCATCTGTACAGGCAAAAAAGTTCCTAAAAGATGAAACAGGGCACCGATCAAGGTTAAAAAAAAAACATTTTGTGGCTCTGGCTACAGTACGTATAAAAATGCAATAGCTCGAGCGTATAGACCTTACTTAAAACTGGATTTTTCCCTGCACTTTTGGATCATTCCATCGCAGCAAGCTCACTGCTCGAATAATCCCCAGTTTGATAGCCACACCACGTGAGCCTAATACAATGCAAAAGACACCAAAGCTAGCGGCGAATAAAATCTCAAACCTTCTCTGTAGATATTTCAACACATTCAGTTAGTTATGGTACACCTCAAATGATCGATGACGCAGAAAGCTGTGAAATCGCCTACATACGATCACTGACTGCACGACCAAGGCGAACTTTATCTAAACAGACGACTTACTCAGTGCAGGTGAATACGAGCATAAAATATTAGTTAAAAAACGAATTACTGTTCGTGTGTATCATCTATAGCAGTCATCAGGATGAATTCCAGGAACAACTGGTCCCTGATGACGGCGTGCGGAATGAGAGTCAGCAAGAAACCAGCCATGCGCGCGTGCATGCATATACGCCCTAAATAAAAGGTCACCAAAGCACTTTCCACCTCGACGACAAATGTATAGAATAAAACAACAGAAAAGGAATCTTTCATCTCGTCCTCTCTGAAACGCTTCCTGCGGGCAGAACCAGAACGGAAGGGAGATGCGGAGAATTGGTTGTCACGGCAACCACCTTACGGTCGCCATGGCAACGCAATCGTCCCGCAAGCATCACGCACGCGGGCTGCCTGGCGGCGCGTCCCCACACTTCAATTTGGGTCTCTGCTCTGAATGTTTGCTGGCCCGCCGTCCACATTTGTTTTCGGCCCGCCGGTCATGGGCGAGGGCGCGTTTTCATCCCAGTTCGCCCATCACAAACACGCCCGAGAAGCTCGCACAGCGCAGGTGGCGCGCGCTCCTTGCACGGACAGCAACGAGAAATGCAAAGCGCACTCACTTTGATGAGAATCTTCGGAGAGCGTGCCGCCGTGGTGAATGTCCCAATCGTTGCTGGTGCGCACTGCCGGCCGGACAAGAAGGGCTTCCCGCAAGAGACTCGCTGCCAATCAATTTATTATAACGACGCTTTCACGGTTACCACTGAGGCAGCAGCAAGCCTATAAAATCATTCAGGTAACCGCAGCAAGCCTATAAAATCAGAACGTTCATAACGGACGCGCGAGGCCTCGTGCTAGCTGCAACACAGAATTGTTCCAATAAAGGACAAACGAACGAACAAGGATAATAAATAAATAAATAAATAAATAAATAAATAAATAAATAAATAAATAAATAAATAAATAAATAAATAAATAAATAAATAAATCTTATTGTCAGAAAAAAATACCTCGGCCAAGAACGTTCTCAAGATAGCACTATTTCAACTTCGTCAGTGGATATACTATCGTATTTTCTGAACGCTAGAAGAAAATAGGCATGTAAGCAAGTGCATAGTAATAACGAAACGTTGCATTTATAACCCAGTATTTATTCTTATATCACAAGTTTAAAAGGTCACAAGACCGTATCAAGCTAGAACGACAAAGTTTAGGCGGACAGATGTACTGTCCATCCTTACCATGCAGTCTGAACCATCCTTGCAGATAGCGTATAGACACTAGCGCCAGCGTTTCCTTTAGTAATCGTTGTAGGAGACTGTAGCGAAACTATTGGCATAAAAAAAGCCACTGCCGCGTCCTTTCAGTGCTTCAGCCTCACTTCACTTCTAAAAAACAACTTTTTTAAAGGAAAAGCCGTAATACATCAAGTATTGAATATTGACGTTCTAGATATTATTCTTTCTGGACAGCGTAACACATCAGGACAGCCCAGCATGCATTCGTGTCGGCAGCTCAGAGCACCATGACCACGTTGTTCAGCCAGTAGTAGGCCCGTTCGAGGTCACGTTCGCAGAGTAAGGAACTGGGGTGCAGGGTTCCAACATCATTATGCATCCCTCATCTGGACCCAGCTGTTGCGACCTCTTGCTAAGTGCCGCAACGCGCTATACCACCGCAGGCAGCGTGGCAGATAGAGCCTTGAGAAAGTTATCGGGCAACTCGTTGAGCTCAGTATAAAGTCAAATGGGACCACGCTCGAAGTCATGTGTCAAGTTCACACGTAATTGTGCTACAGAGACTTGTGGCACCCACCGCGGTACGTGGTACTGATCAACCGCTAACGCGAAGTTTGCGAGATGAAATTTCGGCTGGGGCGTTGAATTTCAATCGAAGCAGAAAGTAGACTTCCGTGTGCTTAAAGTTAGATGAGCGTTAAAGAACCCCAGATGGTGAAAATTTACGGAGACCTGCACTATACACGGCGTCTCTCAATCATATTCTAGTTGTGGAGTAAAACACCAACAAACACCACCAACAACGTTTGAAAACTAAGTTGCGCGCTAGCGTCGAGACCGTGATAAAGCTGAAGAGTATTCCGCTCTAAATTTTCGTTTCAGAAATGTGAAACGCCGGGACAACCCGTA